GTAGACAATATCTATCTTCAACTGTGATGTAAATTTCCGACTCCTAGTTGATCATGGTCGTGAGCTATTAATTAATTATTATTAATGGCATTTTCATTAATTAACTCATATCTCCGTCAAAAAGGCGCATGTACCCAAACCAACTTTTCACTACTGACTATTCCCTACATGATGAAAATAGTCTGAGTCTAAAAGCTTTTAATCACCTCGAGAGGTTCTCTCGTTAGTATTTTGCTGATGTTTCAATTAAATTTTATCCTCTAAGCGTTACTGTTTTCCCCAAAAGATGCGTCATGAAATTCTGTACAAAAATATTATTAAATATATTTCAATCTCGATTATTTTGCAACCCAAAAAACAATTTTTTCACTTTGAGTCTTTCATCTTTTGTAAAACAAAAAACAAGAAGATGAGCATATGGCAGCCCTTAAAAAGCACTATCAAGTGGCTATAGTTAAAATTCTTCGAAATCATAATCGGTTGTGGGAGAACTTTTTTTCTTTTACCGATCTCAAAGTTGTACAACACTTCTAGGCGAAATTACCGGTTTTTTCTGGAAACGGATATGTTTCCGTTTTTTGAGTCCTCCTCAGTACTTTTTAGTATCTCAGTAGCTGAGATTGAACCTTCACAGTATTTCTCCTATATTCGTTTATCTGTACAAAAAAATGTTTAATAGAGTAGAGAATTTCACGGCGCATCTTTTAGAAAAACAGTAACGTTTAGAGGATAAAGTTTAACTGAGATATGAACAAAATACTAAGTGACCGATTTATTCTGAAGCATCCGTTATATATAACTTAATTACTTTTAATTTCATTTAATTGTGTAGATTTTTTAATAAAGTTTAATACGGATTTCAATAAAAGCCAATAGATTTTATCTTCATCATATAATTTTGGATAGTCACCATCATCATTTTTATTTTTTGAAAAATAAAATAAATCATTATCATCTGATGATGTTGTTGGAAACCATTTTTTATGCGAATCATTTTTAATACAATCGAATATGACAATATGTAAATTTTTAACATGTTGAGCAATTTTATTTAAAATATCAAAATAAATACTCACATATGAAACATGTTTTAGCAATAAAATTTCATCTGAATTATTATCTAAAATGAAATATTAAACAGTAGAATGTAACTGGTATTTATCATCAACTACCGTTACCTAAAACAACTTGTTGGTATGTATTTGCTGTGGCAATGTATAAATTCGAATATTTTTCATGTTTATCTCCTGCAGAACCTTTTTCACTCTTCAAATAAGGTTCAATTTTATTTTCTTTCCAATCATCTATCCAATGGCGAATTTCATCTTCTGAATGTTTACCAGTTAAAACATATTTCTCCTCTTCGTCCATATCGATAATTGCATACAATGTTTTATCATTTATACTTTTTTCTAAACCTAAAATGGGTAAAATGTCATGAGAGATAATGTATGTTTTTTCTTTTTTCATTTATAATAGATGAATGAATACCTAAGTGTTGTACGAATATAAGATCATGTAACCATGTTTTGTCTATACTATCATCATCATAAAAATAAATAAATTTTTGATTTTTACTTTGATTATTTTCTTCGGCTATTTTTTGTACAGTATTTTTTACATCTTGATCATTTGTTCGAACAAAAAAATGGGTATTTTCACTTAAAATTTCTTCAAAATCTTCATGTAATGGATTAAATGTTTGCAATATTTTCCTATGAAGATTAAATGATTGTGGTAATCTTTCAAGTTTTTCAAATTTTTTGGGTGCTGATTCTTCATTTAGATAGCCAATACATGCTACACGTTCTAAATCAATATTTTTATCATCATAAAATCTTTCAATTAATTTAATATGAACATATTTTGCTTTAACATATTTGTCAAATATTGTCAACGATTCAAGAGTATCTTTGTCAACTGAAATAAGAATAAGAAATAAGGTAGAAAATTATCGGTACAAGATGAATAATTCTGCTAAAAGTGTGCTGATTGATTTTCCTTCCTCTCAGGCCGATGAAGAGAAGGATGAAGAAGAAGACAAATTGAGGCTTAAGCAAAACTAGCTGAGAAGGAGCACAAAAAACTATCAAGCAAGAACAACACACAAAAATCATTCGAAATACTTTTGAAAAAAGTAGTCTAATGTGTATTTCTTGTATATCTATATGAACTAGTTTTTTCTTTTTTTTACTTTAATTGTTCTGTCGTGTGTAAAAAATGGACACGAATAAAATTTACATTTTTAATCTCACAAAAGATCTTTTTCAAATTGATTGAGATTACCGTGATTAGCAAGGCAAGAGTAATGAAATTCAAAGTCTACTTTTCTTTCTGGAAACTTTTCTACGAAAGTCGTAATAGCAGCTACCCCTCTCCTACAAAGTCTGAACGCTCGGATAGTTTAGAACCCCCGGGGGCTTCTACTACGGGAAGGGGTTTATTTCAACTCATAGGAAATGCCACAAAGCGTTTTAGCGCTACATGTCTAAAATCTAACAAGCAGCAGTGAGTCTGATAAATAACAGAAGCACTGTGTTTGCTCGTAGCTGTTACAAATCATATACTTATAAATGTAAGATTTATCCGAAGGCACCCCTATCAGCCGATCTTGGTGTCTGGTAATCGAGACAGATTCGACTGAATCCCACATTGGACGCTGACTCTTTTCCTTTTGCTCAATCGCGTACATCTTTACATATACAAGAAAGAGTATGCAAGTTTGGAGAAGAGAAGAGTTCGATTCTATCCATTCCCATACCTTCTCTTTTAATGTGCATGAAGAGCATGACGTACACTGACGAGGGAATCGCTTCAATTGTTCCCGTGGTTTTTGGTCGAAACACACATAGGCACAGGTTACCGCTGATTTTGAATATCATAGTCGGAGCAGCATACGGGCCCCTGAACATCCGGTTTTATGGAAAACCAGTTTTTCAGAAACTCGAAAAAATAACCAAAACCTTTCTTAATGAAGTCCGCAAATTTCTAATTAAAATGAGACATCCCCCAGCTCTACAAGACCTTTCTTTGCAAAGTTATACAATTTACAAGAAAAGCCCTAAATGTTCATTGTCAGCTCAAAGCTACAGAAAGAAGAAATTAATTTAGGGCTTTTCTTATAAATTGTATAACTTTGCAAAGAAAGGTCTTGTAGAGCTGGAAGATATCTCATTTTAATCAGAAATGTGCGGGCTATAAGTACGCCTCAATAAAAAAAGAAAGGTTTTGGTTTTTTTTTGGAGCTTTTGAAAAACTAGTTTTCTAGAAAACCAAGTCTCCAACGGCTCGTATGCCGCTTCGATTCTGATATTCGCAATCAGCATCAGCGATAACCTATGCCTATCAGAGATCGAATCTGGTCTTAAGTGGATGACCCGAATCAATATTTTCTATGTGGGCCAGAACCCGGCCCACATAGAAAATCACGAGAATTCTCAAAAAAGTTTCGCCAAAACGTATTTCTAATAGGGGACGGACTTCAAGTACGTGGGTTACCGTTGGACTACTTGCAGACGACAAAATTTGATCGCAATAGAAGACCAGGGGGGGGGGGCGGGGAGGGTTACTTGCTTTTCTGATAAAAAAGGTACATGTTGAAAAATAGATGAGTGAACCGTAACCGAAGAAAATTTCCTGATTTATTTTCAAGCGGCAAGGCCCGTAAAACCCGAAAATCTTTTTTCCTTTGAAACGACTCGAACCAATATTATTTACATTGACTAGAACCCGACCTGAACCGACCCGTTTCGGTCTCTGATGCCTATGTGTGTTTCGACGAAAAAGCTCGGGAACACTTGAGGCGGTTCCCTCGTGAGTCGTCTAGAAAGAGAATTGATTTAGATGTGATGAAACAGAAATATATTAGATTAATATTTTCTACAAAGCTCAAGATTTCATAATTTAGACACCTCAAATGTCTATGATAACAAACTTTTTTGTTATTTCTGATACTCTATACTTTCGTTTCACTCAAATGTCACGTGTCAACGATAAATATTTTCATATTAACACATTAGAGGTAAGTTGGTACACTCTCTTGCGTAATGAACACAGCATTTTAACTTTTTTATATTCTATGTTCTGATTCTTACCGTTTAAATAAGCAACGGCACCATGTTTTATTTTTATCTCATCCGATAATTGGTTGTATTGTTCTTCCGTCATATCATTATATTGTGATGTATACTCCTGAATGTTTGGCTCAGTTAAATGAACAAATATTACAGCTGTCTTAAGTGGTGCTGTGTATCTTCGCGGTGCTTTTATAAAAATATGCGTTAACAAAACAACTGACTCATGTTCTGTTTTTAATATTAAATTAAAATTCTTTCCGTGTTTTGAACAATGCTTATAACGAGAGTATTTCAACACATTGTCTATTGCATAATTTTCATCGTTATCGGTTGCACCGCCATCATAAAAATGAATTTTGAACGGTAATATTTGTAATGTGGATGCTGAAATGGAACCATCAGCCTGGGAACTCGATGTCTCAGATGCCATAATAAGTAATGCTTAACTCGTATCTTGAAGAAATATAAACAAACAAATATTATTAGTATTCCATCTACCATAGAGTAAACGTGAGACTTAGGAAGAAAGTACCCCAAGTTGCAAATCGTTTTTTCAATGAGAGTACGTGGACGGTATAAGTAATTGTTGGCGCTGATTCCGAATGTCAATATCGGAGTTGCTCTTAGGCTTTCGCCTTCAGAAAACCATGACCCAAATCCAGAAACTTTTTCTGAGTCACCCATTTTGTAGAGGACACAGAACTGTCTCTATTCCATAAGTTTTAATCTTTCAAAACAAGAATCAACAGCGTAGGAAAATTTCCCAAAAGAGTGGCTATGTTGGTTTTGATGGGAAAATGTTGCAGCAGGATACTTTGTAATAATCATAGCATCGTTCAATGATATTTTGAAAAATTAGAACTTATGGAATATAGACAGTTTTGTGTGCTCTACAAAATGGCTGATTCAGAAAAAGTTTCTGGATTTGGTTTGAGCTAGCCATTCCCCGGTTATAACCGATAAATTTCACCTTTTTTCTGAAAAATGAATTACGTGAAACGTATGCATATTTAGCAACTGGGTTTTATACAGAAACCATTTTTCTACAAGATGAGCTATGGCGAACGCTTTCCGAAATCGGTTATAACTGAGCATGGGACTTTTAAATCTTTTTTTATAAGCACTGAATCCAACTTGTGGGAAAATATTTGCTCTGCAAAACGCAGTTGTTAGAAAAATTTTAGAGAATCAATTTTCATTGAGAATAATTGTTTACGAAAAGAGCACACAATTCCAAGCAGTTATAACCGGTGCATACCTAGTTTAAGCTTTATTTAATTTAAAAAAAAAATAAAGAAATAAGAGATTTAAAGCGGCTGTTAACTCTATCATATAAGAAAGAAGAGCAAAAATAAAACAGTACAATTCGCCATTTTCAATAGATGCGATCGGAACTATTGTACCGCCGAAAAAGGAAATCAAATGATGATATAGCATGTGACAGTCAAAAAAGAAAGAAAAAAACTTAGACGAAGAGAGTTTAGAGAAATAGGACATAGTCCATAGCATAGCTATGTTATGTAAATAAACCTCAGAAGAATAAAGCTTCGACAAAAAGCGATTTTCTTTTCTTTACTTTTTTCTATTTTCGTTTCTTTCATTCACGTTATATATAGTGTGTGTACTCACGTTACAATGTACGTTATATATGAGCGATTCTGATAAAAATAGTACTGTTTATGTACAAAAAAAAATTTGACCAAAAGAAAAAACAACTGCTTGAGCATTTGGATATCATATGTCGATAGTGGGTACCTAGTAGTACCAGAAAAGCAAATTTGCAAACTAACACTTCTCTGTGTCCGGAATTTTCAAAATATCGTGGATTTTGAATGCAGGGAAATAAGATCTCCTGTTGATTTTCATGTATAAATAATTGGGACACTCTAAAAGTACATAATTATAGATTACAAAGTGTGCTCCATCTACAGGTATACCCAACTGTTTCACACAACTTCCGGTATCGCTAGTTTTCTGAAAACCCTGGATTAACAGAAACACTTTATTTACCCATTTGAACGCTGTTTATGCACATCCATAAACTCTCTACATTGTAAAACCTTTATACTAAAAATTTGGCTTTGTTCATGCGTGTTAAGTTACAAAAAAAGAATCAAAAGAAAACGGTTACGGGACAAAGGTGATTACAAAACAATTTCCTAGTGTTTTCTAGCTTACTCCTTTATAAAGCAATTTCAGTCTTTGTCATTTTTACAGGATCATCATGTGGTCTACAACCAATCGAAAACCGAAATACTGAGAACAAAAATAATGGTGTAGCTGAATAGAATGACGAAAATTCTAGAAAAGAGAAGAAAACATATTATTCCACACAAAGTAACAGAGAAAAATAACATTTACAAACTGTGGCTCATACGAATCACAAGAAAGTCAACAGCAAAATAACGGTTAGATATAGATGTGTTGCTTCTAACTCGTTAATAGTTAAAGATAGAAAAGCTATAGTTGCAGCGATTATAAGTCTAGCATTCACGAGTATATAACAGAAATGCGAAATTGTTTCATCTGATCTAAGAGGAGAAACGCTTAGGACCATTCACGTCATTTGAACGGTACTATTTTTATCAGAATAACTTAATATATATAACATATGTTAAGATTGTTGTCTGTGTAAAGTGATGTCACGTTTCCTTCGTTCTTTTTCCTTTATATCAGTAGATACAAGCAGGTACATATCTGTTTCACACATATATATATATGCTGTGATGTATACGAGAGAATCGTAACTTTCTGGTACAATCGATAAAAAAAATGAAAGTGTTCATTAAAAAAATTTGAATTGTACGTTTTGTTCCCCTGTCTTTGCCGAATATCCTATAAAAATTTCCCAACGGTCAGACTCATACTGGCTGAGTTAGGAGGGAGACAATTTTCAGTTTTTGCCATAGAGAATTTTTGGCAGGATTTTGTTAGAAAAAGGGTTGAAATAGATGTATTCCACATCATTCGACAGATAATGATTCGAGCAGTACAGTGGGACTGTGAGCAAATGCGTCAAGCCGAAAAACCGCAGAAAAGTTTTTTCATTCTTTAGTGTTAAAATCTAAAAAGTCCGAATTTCGTTATGTGTAACTACTTTCAGAATTATCAATTATTTTAGCAAAGACTATAGATTTTAGAGCTCTTTATCTGTAGCTTAGGTAGTCAAACTCGCCGCAGTCTGAGGAGTCGACTGGTGTACGGTATTGATGATTTTCGTTTAGCTTTGACCAAAAATCTCACGAAAAAAGGTTGGTCTACATTTAGTTAAAAACAAAAGTCGGTCTACATTTTCCCCTATAAT